ATTTTCAAGCATCTGCAAATTAAAAGACCTGTTGGGGAGATGTTCCGCTCATTTGCTAGCTGAGAGGCACTTTTGTTTTCAATGGGAAGAGAGACGTTCATTTAAATTTGGAGGAATCTCCTTAAATTTAGGAAATAGCAGTGCCTTCATGTAAATAGGAATATGCGATTTCACAGATATTTTCCAGCGGCTCTCCACGAGAAGGGAAATTTCAGAATATTCAGCAAACAGGGCAGGAACACGTCCTTTAAAGCAGCAGTTCCCAATCTCTTTGGCACCAGGGATCCATTTCATGGAAGACAGCTTTTCCACAGACTAGGCAGGGGAGAGGGAAGGATGGCTTCGAGATGATGCAGGTGCATCACATTTATTCTGTAGTTTATTTCTATTATTATCACATCAGCTGCATTTCAGATCATCAAGCGATAGACCCCAGAAGCTGGGGATCCCTGCCTCTAGCGCTCTGTGTACTAAAGGACACAATGTTGTGTGCGCTGAGAACTTAAGTCTCTCCGTGTTAAAGTTTCTTTGCACTTATGGTGTCCCTTGCTGGCAGTGGGGGAGTTTGTTCTCAGGCAGAAGGAAGATGACGTGGTGAGACAGAATTGTGTAGTGTTGGTAAAGACAAAGCTTTCTGGTCAAACTGACATGGAGTTGAGTCCTAGTTCTAACATTTCCTAGGCAGGTTGAAGCTGGAGAAGTCACTTAATCCTTCTGAACTTCAGTTACACTATCTGCAAAATGGGCACAAGAATAATCCCTCCTTTATGAGATCATTGTTCAACACTAAAATGAGATAATGCCTATAAGTGTTAATATGAATGCACAGTGCCCTGTGTACAAAAAGTATACAGTAAATGGCAGCAACCTGCCACATCACGATTCATCATTGAAATTTTAATCAAGGGCTACAACAAGCTCATAATATGAACAATTTTGGTCAAAACATTTTTGTGCATTGAGGGATGTTTAAAGTAGGGGATCATTTACATAGAAACAATACAAGCATTCTCAGATGCTAGTGTGTACTTTTATGGGGGAATTCTTGAGGCCACACATAAAATGCTCCAGTTCATCATTGCCTTCCACTCTGAGGACACATGCCCTTAGCACCAGATCTAGAAAGGAGCCATCAATGCTCTTTACAATAGTTGCTCCAGCGGCCTCTGAGATACCTGTGAATTAACTATAAACTTCTCTCTTTGTCATCAAGAGGGACAGAGACAATTTGAAAAGGTTACTGTCATGTGTGGCTAAACCCTGACTTTTAACTAGCCTGCTGCATATATCTCAACAAAACAAAACAAAAAAAATCACTGATTCGGCCATGCCTGTTTCCACCAAAATCATTTTCAATCTGTCAAAGAGACATAATCTCAACACCATTTGTTGAGTGTCAGCAAAGACATGAATAATCTTTGGTGTCCCTGTTATTTATTTTCTAAGGAAGCTAAAGATCAAGACCAAATATCCAGAATTCCACTTGTGTTTCTCGTCAGATCTTAGGGATTTTCAGGCATGCTTAAATCATAAAGAAAGATCATAAAGTTCATCCTTTATACTTGAACATATAAAAAAACAGGCCACAGAGAGGTTAAGTAATTCACTTCAGGACAGAAGGCTCATTATAGATGAGGCTGTATTAGAAGGCATGGCTCCAGAGTCCATCCAGGCCTCTTTGCACTTTCCACACATGACTTAGAAGGAAGACCATTTCTTTTTAGATTCCACAGAAAGAGACTCACAGACTTGAGGGGGAAGGCTGAAGGGAAGGGATAGTTAGGGAGTTTGGGGTGGATATGTACACACCGTTATATTTAAAATGGGTAACCAACAGAGATCTACTATATTGCACAGGGAACTGTGCTCAATATTGTGGCAGCCTGGATGGGAGGGGAGTTTGGGGAAGAATGGGTACGTGTATGTGTATGGCTGAATCCCTTCATTGTTCATCTGAAACTATCACAACATTGTTAATCGACTATATCCTAATACAAAATAAAAAGAATTTTTAAAACTATCTTAAATAAATAAAAAGGCAGGAGAAAAAGAAGAAAGCCCAGAGATTTGCATCTCTTCTAATTCCAAAGTACATGAGTCATAAGGAAGATTTCCATGGGGAGTTGCAAATCAGATGACTCTAGTAAAACCAGCAACATTATCTAATGTTTATTAAACAGATCAAACCCTGCTACCCTTTCAACTTTGCCTAGAATCCTCAATATGCTATGGTCAAATGATAAAATAAAAGAGCAGGAAACTACTTAAGCAATGAGACAAGGCAGACCACGCTGATTCAGTGATTAATGCACAACTTGAGTGTCGGGGGAACTGGGTTGAATTCCACTGATGCACTCAATGAAGGCATTAACTGGTACACTACAATGTTAGTAACCCTGCTGAAGACATAAAAGTTTTACTTTCACAAACTGATAGGCCAAAAATGATCTGATTTTTAACTATAAAGCTCTTCTGGTAACATGTTTTTATAAAAAAAGAAAATTACTTCTTTGCAGTTTTCTCCAGGTAGCCCAGTTCCTTCCTCAGTCACTTTTGTGGGGTCAACACACACACACACACCACACACACACACACACACACACCCCTCCCACATCCCTCCCTCAGTTCTGCCAAGAATTGAACTCTGCAGGAATCTCAGTGACACTTCTGCAGAAAGGACAGTTGTGGGTTTCTATTTTTTAAACAATTCTGATTTGCGGTAAAGAAGGGGGAAGTCAGAAGTCTCTCTAGGTAGAATGAAGAACTCCTTGGCTGCTTCTCAGAGCCGGGAAGGTGTGTCTGTTGGAGGCCGAAGAGAATTGAAACATGAAGTAAGAATTTCCCTGTTGTCTTTCAGTCTGAAAACGAATATAGAATTGGAAACGCTGCTTCACGCTTCCTTATCTCAATACCTGCAAAGCTCACATAGCACCCTATAATTCACACAGGGAATAAGATGGCCTGGGGCCCTGTGTGAACGAGTCAGGAGTCAGGCAAGGCAGACTGAATTCAAGCTTCCCTGGTACAGATATGACAACCATTAGCTTCCACTATTTCTGACTTTTCCTTGCTGGTTCTCTAATTATGTCGCATCTTGAAAATGCAGCAAGGGAAAATTCTATTTCAGCTCTAATAATAGAGATGGATAATATTTACCACTTTAACAGATTGTGCTGTGTGGTGAATGAAGGCTGCCTCTTCAGTCACATCATATAGAAGAAGTTGATTCGGCAATAGTGGAACATACGGGAATTAGAGAACTAACTGGACTATGGGAGCAGTATGATTCTAAGAAAGTAATTTAATCTAAATCGTGGTGTTAAATGAAAATCTCATCCATAAAGAATTGTATGCAGGAGCATCAACTAAATGTCTAAGTGGGGAGTAAAAAGACAATTTTAAAATTTTTATTTTAAAGTATATTAGAGTAAATCCTACTCTATTGAAAAATCAGATCATTTTCCCAAACAAAAGCAGAGTCTACAAACCTAGTAACAGCAATATGCTGCACTAGCCAAAAATAGAAGGAAATGCCAAGATGTCCTTGAACTGCAAATGGAAACAAAATGACTGAATTGTATTCTGTATAAACCACAACCAATATAGGAGAGCAAGAAGAAAGAACTTGAATGAAGATTAGAATAAGGCTGTCTGAGCTGAAGTATGCATCTTCTCTGCATTGGATCTCTCCTTTTTTAAGTCTACAATAGGCTGCAAATTTCAGAATTCCACCATGGTCAGTAATGAATTTCTCCATCAGAATTCAACTAGGAATTGGCACAGGGGCACTCACTTGCAGGAAATTAGAAATGCTCTGGGCATGTTAGAAACAAACCACTTTTCCCCAGGTCACAGTTAAGGACAAGCAATGTCAGCTAGGGCAAAGTGCACCAGTGTGCTTGAGAGGAGTAGGGGGAGTGGGCCTGTATTGGATTCGATGCAGTCAACCTGCAGAAAATAAGCTTCTTGAGATACACATGAAGTTCAAGAATTGAGAGAGAACATTATCTAAGAGGAACAGCAGGTGATTAGGTCCTGTATTAACACTCAACAATGCTTTATTGTGCCATCTTGCACCCTAAGAGCTGAGTGGGGCCTAGCCAGGTAGCATCTGCCTTGCCGGGATCCCAGAGTCAATTATATTAAGCTTTAGGCCCCCTTGACATTATTGTTCCCAGCAGGTCTCCTTCAGCACACGTGGTGTAAGTGAGATAACAGAAGATGATGGCTCTCCGTTAAAAGGTGCCCCAACCCATCTTCAGCGTTCATCCACTCGCTGCAGCCCGGCTACCTGGGTCCCCCCAGCCATCGCAGCTGCTCTGAATCTCTGGTTTAATATAATAAACAAGAGAAGAGAGCCTCATTGCGGGATCCTAGGAAAGAATACCACTGCTGTGATACACAGAAGCATTATAGGAGAAAATTTGTAGATGTCTACATCAAAATCTGTGAATGTGTACATCACTTTTTTTAAAATTATGCTTCCTTGTATATTTAAGTGCACCACAGTTGAAATTGAGATTCTCAGGTGGCTCAGTGGTAAAGAATCCACCTGCCCAATGCAGGAGACGCGGGTTCAATCCCTAGGTCAGGAAGATCCCCTGGAGGAGAAAATGGCAACCCACTCCAATAGAGTTGCCTGGGAAATCCCATGGACAGAGGAGCCTGGCAGGCTACAGTCTGTGGGGTCACAAAGAGTCAAATACAACTGAGCACATGCATGCATGCACGCGCGTGCACACACACAAATACAGTTGAAATTGAAATGCAAATTGTCTAGAAATCACATAGAGCCAAATATGCCTTATACAGACAAGGACTATGCTATATATAACCTACAGTACACCATGAAAAATCTCATTTTCTAAGTGTAAATTGTGGAAGCTAGGATAAAAGAAAGCATTTCACTTGATTTATAAGCTTTAAAATATTAAAAATAAGGCACTCCAAGAATTTGTGAATACATATATTCTTTTTTTAATTTTTTAGGGGAGTACAAAAGCAAAATATTTGAAGAACAGGGAATTTTGTCCTACTGTAAATACCAGATCTTTTCCAGAATCAAACCATTCTCTGGGAGTCGGAGATACTGCAAAGGCTCTGACTAAAGTTCTATGAAGCGTAGAGAAGAAGCAACACCCTATAAAGGAAAAGAGATGTGGCAGAGAAAAGAAGGTGAGAAAACATAGATGAGACTGTCTGTTTCATAATTTTGCCCATGGCTCCTCGTAGCAGCCAGGAGAACACGTGTTGCAGCCATCCCACTACAGGGAGTGAAACTGACCCGGGGCCATAGTCGCTGCGCCGGGAAATCCTGTGCCTTTGCCCCAAGGCTGCATCCCTCACAGACAGCTGTCTGCCACTGAGCAGGTGCGGCGTGCTCAGGAGCGCAGGTTCCTGCTTCCAAGGAGACGTGAGACCCCTTTACGGTCCAAGCTGGGCTCTAGGCCCAGACAAACCTTCCTGAGACTGCACAGCAGTCTAGGGCGCTTCCTCCCAATTTTCTCTCCCTCTCTCTCAGCATCAGGCTTGCCTCATGGACTGATCTCCCAGGTCTATCCGACTCCCTTTCTATTTCCTTTCACAGGCATCTCCCCTAATAAAAGTCTTGCACATTAAATTCCATTGCTCTCTGCCAGAAGACAGCTCACAAGTGACCTATAGCTAAAAAGGATTTCTTTGTTTCCCACAAACCCTACTTTGCCTCATATACATGGCCTCCAGAGATTTCTCTCCATTTTCTCCAGAAAAACTGCATGGACTTTAAAAATTCATCTGGGTCAATTTCCCCACCTTGTGAACTGTTCACATCTACTTGGAAGACAATTTTCAAGAACGCTTTGAAAAAGCATTCTAATCATAATGAGGCAGTTTATTCAGAAAGCCAGTTCATATAGCCAAATATTCGTTAACTGTTGGAAGCCAGGTCTTAGTTTGTGGTGCTTTATTTTTAATATTTTAAAGTTTATAAATCAAGTGAAAGACTCTCTTTCATCCTAGCTTCCACACTTTACACTTAGGAAAATGAAGTTTTTCATCGTTTTCTGTAGGTTATAAATAGCATAGTCCTTGTCTATTTAAGGCATATTTGGCCATATGTGATATCTAGACAATTTGGCATTTAAATTTCAACTATGGTGCATTTAAAATATGCAAGATGACATAAGCCATAAGCTTAGATTCTAAACTTTGGGGGTTTTTATGAATGATATTTAAAACGTAGCACGAGGTTAATACCCCACTTGAAATTGTCTCTGTGTCTTTCTACACACAATTGGTTTAACTGTTATGACTGTCAAGATAAATTAGAAAAGAGTTGAGCCAATTGTGCCTTTAGACACAGCTTTAAGTATCCCTACAACAGACAAAAAATAAAAAGGTTAAACTAGAAAACTTCTAAGGTTTCTCTCAGCTTTAATAACATAGGATTCTATAATTCTAAGGTTTAATGCAGTCAGATAGAGTTCTCCCTCCCCAACCACGAGTTCCCTTTTCATGAAATCTGAGTACTGTGGAATTTCCTTCTCTAAACATTTTCAGCAACCATAATGATTTCAGTTCTAATATATGAGAATTGAATGGGCCACTCCCGTAACTAGCCTCAGTCAGATGTTCAAGAACCAGCGTTGGCTCTGAAAAGGTCAAGACCCTCCAGTCTCTGTCTCCCTTTTTTTCTGTTGCTACTTTGGGGGACGAAGGATGGAAGAATTCAAAGGGTTTGCAACACAATCTTCTCTAAAGGCCATACTTTCTGCAGTCAAAACTTTCTTGCAGAAAGTACCTTCTGAAGAGCCCAAAACACTGAAGAGGGGCATCTAACCATGATTAGCCACTAAAGTCCCCTAATGGCAAAACGGACAAGGAAACTCAAACTCTCACCTAAGTGAGGAGAAGTGAAGAGCCAGAGGTTTAAGTATGGGGCCCTTGGGACTCAGCTCCCTCCCTTCCCCAACCAACCCCTACTTCAAAGACCACTCACACACTGTACCTTCAGAAATCACTGGAAATTAAAGATAAATGAGAACAAATTAAATACTTGTTATTATCACTCAAAAGAGGAATATCACCGATAGTCTTACTAACTAGTGTGATTACTATTTTGTGTTTTAGTATCTATTTTAATTACACATATACACATCCGATAGTCTTACTAACTAGTGTGATTACTATTTTGTGTTTTAGTATCTATTTTAATTACACATATACACATTTTGTGCATAAATATATACACACTTGCATATTTATATATATAAAATATATATAAGCTTTGACACATTAACTCTTTAAATCTTACTCTTTCTATTCTCTTTCTCCCAGGCCCTTTGCCCCATAGCCAAAAAATAAGTAAATAAAACTTTAAGAAACTCTCCCACCATGAAGATTTTAGAAACATTTGCAGGTGAAATTAAATGTATAATTTCTAAATACCTGTAAATGGAAAGATCTCTTTTGTAGTCCTCAAATTCTGTTCAGGGCTACCACTTTTCCCACTCTATACACATAGTTGTTTAATAAAAATTAAATTAAAACCAATCATTGCTTACTACTTTTCTCTCCACACAAAAGTTCCATCTTAGAAATTAGTTGAACTTGATATCAAAATGTTAATAGCCCATATATTTTATAATATGCAGTATTTTTATGTCAAATTGGTTAGCAATGTTAACATCACCCTGTTCCTCTAGGCTCCACAAGCAATTTGGATATTCCTTATCTTAATTGTGTGACAATGTCCAAACTCGCCAAGCAACCAACGCTTTTCATTTGTTTATAAATGTTGTCACGTGTAGACAGTTAGCTTAGTTGATGAGAGGACAGTACTAATGAAACCAAGGTTAAAAATTCCTTCTTTTATTGTTACTAGCCAGATAACCTCTCTTAAATCTAAGATTAAAGACTCCATCCGGGGACTTTCCTGGTGGTCCAGTAGCTAAGACTCCGAGCTCCCAATGCAGGGGGCTCGGGTTCGATCTCTGGTCAAGGAAATAGATCCCACTTGTCACAGCTAAAGATCCTGCATGCTACAACTGAGACCCAGAGCAGCCAAATAAATAAATATCTAAGACTCCATCCAAAGACATAGCTTCTATCTCAGACTTAACGTTGTGGGTCACAGTAAGGATTAGATAAAAGACCTTAACATTTTTTTTTACTATTGCCTTCATTTAAATAAATATTTAAACTTTGTGAACTATTTCAAACAAATTTAAAAGTACAGATAAAAATATAACAAAACACAAAGCATCCTCCCCCCTAATTTAACAAATGTTGATTTTTGACAATGTTTGCCTCCTATACTTGTAAAATAAATGTAGTAGATACAAATAAACTGTCAGAGATACCACTCCTTCCTTCCCAGACACTGATATGTACACTTCTAATTCATACTTTTAATTTTTAGTATTCTACTAAATTCTGTTTAATTTATTCACCTCCTTAAACAATTATGTTGCTTCCAATGTTTGCTAATACAACAATGATGCACTAGAATTTTTGAGAGTGCCTCCTGATTTGAGAGTTCAACCAAGATATATAACTTAAAGGTAAAATTGCTGTCTTGCAGGGTACACATGTTTTCAACTCCATAGGTATTGTTAAGTTATTCTCCAAGGTAGATGTGTCAATGTATCCTAAGACCAGCAGCTTCTGAAAGTTTCTATGTTCCCATATTATTGCCAACACATCATACAATCAGTTTCTATGTTTTGCCAGTCTATTAATTATGAAATATTGCCCCAGTTTATTTGAACTTTCATCACTCCTAATAAATAATCAGTGAGGTTTGCAACATTTTATTTATTTATTGACCTTAAAGATTTCTTCTTAAATTAATCAGCTCTTCATATCCTATATCCATTCTCTAGTGAAATATTTCCTTTTTATTGTTCTTAGGGTTTTATTTAATGTGTATTTTCTTTCCTAATCCTTTACTGGTTGCTTGAATTATAAATATTTTCTACCAATATGGGGCTTATCTTTCCATTTTATGGTCTTTTTTTGTACATATCTATTTTTATTTTAAATAGCTAAAGTTATCAATTTTTTAAAGCCTTGTGCTAGAGCATCCAGTACAATGCTAAATATAAGTGGTGATAGCAGGCATCCTAAATTATTCCTGACTTTAAAAGAATGTTTCATTATGTTTCATCATTAAAAGTGAGATTCACATTAAGTTTTAGGTAGATATCTTTTCTTTAAATAAAGTTTCCTTTTATTCATGGTTTTCTAAGATTTGTTAACCTGAGATGAGCAAAATTTTTCTCTGTTGATATGTTAACATGGTAAATTCCACTAGATTTTATAAAGTTAAATTGTCTCTGTAATCCTAGAATATGGGCTTCCCAGGTGGCGCACTGGTAAAGAATCTGCCTGCCAGAGCAGGAGGTGCGTAAGACAAGAGTTCAGTCTTTATTCACTTCTGAAAAGTTCTTAATCTCTATTAAAATATTGTCTCTTTCTTCATTCTATTTTACCTTTCTGAAAATATATAAAATTTATATATCTACAGGTATATAGATGTAGATATAGCTGATACAGAGAGAGGAGAAAAGAAGATTCTTATCAGATACATATTAGATCATCTTATTCAGTTGCACCCATTCTGTTTTATTCTATTCTATTTCTTTTCTTTTTAATATTTTACTTCTAGTTTCTTTGCTACATCCTGGACAATTTCCTCAAATCTATCCTAAAGTCATCAATTCTTTGCTGATCAGAATCTAACCAGATATTAGATCCCCCACTTAGTCTTAATTAATGACTACTTTTTTGTAATTTCTAAACATTTTATTTAGTTCTTTTTCAAGTGAAAGTGAAAGTCGCTCAGTCTTGTCCAACTCTTTGCAACCCCATGGACTGCAACCTGCTAGTCTCCTCTGTCCATGGGATTCTCCAGCCAAGAACACTGTAGCAGGTAACTGTCCCCTTCTCCAGGGATCTTCCCAACCCAGGGGTTGAACCCAGGTCTGCCAAATTGCAGGCAGATTCTTTACCATCTGAGCCACCACGGAAGCCCAAGAAATTGGAGTGGGTAGCCTATCCCTTCTCCAGGAGATCTTCCCGACCCAGGGATGGAACTGGGATCTCCTGCATTGCAGGTGGATTCTTTACCAGCTGAGCCACCAGGAAAGCCCTCTTTTCAATCTGTATATTATATTCTTTTATCATAGGGCCCTAATATTTATGGCTTATATCACTTCTTTTAGTACTTCATTCATTTCACACATAATTATTTTGTAATCACTTTCAGATTATTTATGTGTCTCATGTATCTCAAAAGTTTATTTTTCTGCTTATTGTTTTTGCTAATATCTCAGTCAGGGTTCACTCAGAAGACAAAAACCATATCAGTGTTTTGAATAAGGACAATTTAATATAAACAATTATTAATTAAAGTGGCTAATAATTAAATGAAAAAAAAAGAAGACCAAAGAACATAATAACAGCGAATATAGAGAACAACTAATACTTTTAAGTTGAGGATAACTAAAAAAGAGATAAATTTGGAAAAGGACCTCCACCACCCCGGCTCCCGTTAAGGCTGAGATTCAGACCTTGGTCCTAGAGAGGGTGTGATTAGAGCTTACTGAGTGGCAAGGTTTCTGGGATGTTGCAGGCCAGAGCGATTTCACAGGAAGCTGTCCAGTGACGTGCCAGCAATGTTTGCTTGGGTACTGTAGGTCAGGGATGGTCTTCTGGAAGTTGCTTACTGGGGTATGGGGAACTCAGAATGGCGTGTAGAAAGCTGCCCGTTGGAGTGCCAGAGAAACACTGGAGGGTGAACTCCACTGGGTCTCCCTGCCACCACTGATAGCCGGGCCTTAGGAGGGAAAAAAAAAGACACAAGAATGGGTAAGAAAAGTCCCATTATCTGTTTGCCTTGCAGGTTCCCTCCAGAGTCATCTCTTGACAAAGACTAATATTGCCTCAGCTAGCAAAAGGTCCAGCTCCATTACCAAAAATCAAGGCAACAGAGGTAGGTTTGGATCTGAAAATCAACACTTTGATACCTAGCTGTCTTAGACAAATTTGTGTACTCCTTAATTTAATATAAACCTCATGGCAGCCCTGTGAGATCAGGATCATCCCCACTGTCCAGGAAAGAAATAGGTTTACAGAGGTGAGGTAATTCTCTACAGCCATCCATCTAGTAAATATCAGAAGGCTGGACTCAGAGTATTTGACTCCAGAACCTTCCTTCTTAAACACTGCTCTCTCTGCATCCAGATTCACCCGAGTAAGGCAGATGAGGGAGCTGGCATGGTGATCCTGGGCTTTCCAGGTGGCGCTAGTGGTCAAGAACCTGCCTGCCAATTCAGGAGACGTGAGATGTGGGTTCAGTCCCTGGGCCGGGAAGATCCGCTGGAGGAGGACATGGCAGCCCACTCTAGTGTTCCTGCCTGGAGAGTCCCATGGCAGAGGAGCCTGGCAGGCTACAGTCCATGGGGTCACAGTCTGACATGACTGAAGCAAATTTGCACACATGAACGGTGGTCCTGGCCTGGCCTGAAAAGGCAGTCATGATAACACTGGTGAAAACAGCTGGGGGAGGCATTTCAGAATGAGATCTGATGGGTTTTGGATCAATTACATATAATAGCTACCCCAGGATAATCTCAACTTCATATGTTTTATACCATGACCCATATGGACGTTTGCATTTTACAAACTCTGGGTTCAGAAAATATGGCTCTCATAAATCTAAGGTATACATAAAAGTCAAAAAATAAACCCTGGGAGCAGCATAGAACAGACTCCAGTATTCATTTTATATGATTTTGTATAAGATTTATAACCAATAAAAATGTTTATATGGAATAATTACACAAACACACAGACACACACACTCACACACATAAGCCCTCCGGCACAATATTCTTAGGGCTGAGTTTGTTTTTACACATACCATAAATATTCTTAAGGTTAATTGAAAGCAGAACATGTGCACGACTTGGTGTAAATGTTGACTCCTGTTCAAGTTCCTCTTCTGCTTAGCTTTTCTTAGCCTTTTTTTACTTTCAGTGTCAAAAGATCAATATACAATAATAAAAACGATAGAGAGGACGTCTAATTAGGCTTTGTTTATACTCTAGACATCCTCTCAATCATTTTTATTGCTGTATATTGACCTTTCAGCACTAAAGGAATGGACAAACTCAAGACATCACCTCCTCCAGTGTATCCACATCCTAACTCCCAGAATTTGTGAATATGTTCTAGCACATGGCAAGGGGGAATTAAGGTTCCAGATGGAATTAAGGTGGCTTTAACCAGTTACCCCGAGATGGAGAGATGAGCCTGGATTATCCAATGTAATACAAGGGTTATTATAAGTGAGAGAGGGAGGCAGGAGAATCAGAGTCAGAGTGAGACAAGAAGAGAAAGACAAATTCTTCCCTGGGGCCTCTCTGAAGGAGCACAGCCTGCCTACACCTGAGACGCATTTCAGACTTCTGACCTCCGGAGCTGGAAGATAATAAATTCATGTTGCTGCAAGTCACTAACTTTGTAGTAATTTTTATAGCAACCACGGGAAACCAACACATCCTGCCCCAACATCTGAACAGGAGGAAATTTTGGATTTAAAGCCTTAAGCTCCCTGTTCAAATCATAATCCTAAGGATGAATGAATAAATCTTACTGGTGGCACTGAACATTCCTGCCTTGCCTGCTCAGATGCTAAGGCCTCCCTTTTGGCTTTTCTCTTGTCCATAGGCAAATCGTTCCCTAAGTCCTACAGCTTCACATTCAGAACTACTGTTTTAAGGTAATGTCTCATTCATTCACTCAATTAGTCGGTGAGTCAACAAGCATGTAGACACTAGCCAGACCTCTGCCCGGGACCTCAGATAAAAAGATCTAACTCAAGCCCAAACAATGTTTCAACTTCTGTCCAAAACCAAATTCCTGATGTTCCTACCCAATTCACAGCTTTCAGAGGCATCTTCACTTCAGTGGATCCAAATTCCATTCTTCTACTTGTTTAGGCCAGAATATCTGGAGGCTCCTTCCCTCCCCTCTTTCCCTCACATTTCCTGTATAATCTGTCAGTGTATCCTGCCTTCTTTGCATTCAGAATATATACACTTCTCACAGCCCTCACTGTCCATCCATCAGGCCACTGATTCCTCTTGCCCAAGAGCCTCTAACGGGTCACCAGCTTTGCGCCTTTCAGTCTGTTCCCAAAGCAGCAACCAGATGGGTCACATGTAAAACCCAAGTCCAGCCCCTTCACTTGTCCTGTCAACGACTCCCATCTCTTCTCATCCCACTGGGAGTACAACCCAAAGGCCCTGCTCCCTCGTCTGCTGTTCCCTGCCCTCGTTTCTGTGACTCTCCGCAGCACCCACTCAGCCTTCTTGCTGTCCCTGGAACCAGACGAACACACTCCTGCTCCAGGGGCACTGGGCTTGCTGTTCGCTCTGCAGGGCTCGCTCCCTCGGGAGGTCGTTCCTGCCCACCTTATGTGAAACAGCAAGCCGCTCGCTCCTCACCCGTTCTCCTGCTACTTCCTGAATAACAACCTACTTTATTTTTCTCCACATCGCCATCTCTTATAGTACATATTTGCTTGTTGATTTGTTTCTGCAATTCCCCTCAACCATACTAAAATGCAAGTTCCATGAAAGAATTGCACCTGGCACATATTAGGCATATATACAAATATTTTTCTGAGTAAGTAAATGAGTGGATCGATCAATATGGGGATACAGAGATGAATTAAATATAGCATTTGACACTGAGGAATTTATGGTTTAGAGCAACACTGTTTTATAGAACTTTCCATGGTGATGGAAATATTCTATCTGTGCTGTCCAGGACAGTAACCAGTACCAGCAAGTGGCTACTGAGCACTTAAAACGTGGCTAGTGTGACTGAGGAATTGAGTTTTTATTTTAATAATCTTAAATTTAAATGTAAAGGTTGCATGTGGCTAGTGGCTACCATGCTGGAGAACACAGGTTTAGAAGCGGACGTAGATCTATTAACCTGCAATACTGGTAAGAATGCAATATAATTAGTGCACAGACAATAAAGTGCTGTGGCAGCACGGAGGAGAGGGCAACCAATCCTGCCCGCGTGCGATTTCCTCCCAGAGACCTCCCAGGGGCACTCAGCGCTTCTCCCTCACATCATTCGGCGTTCCTGTAATTACTATTTATTTGTAATCATTTACTTGATGCTAGTCTTTGTTACTGACTGGAGAAGGAAATGGTAACCCACTCCAGGATTCTTGCCTGGAGAATCCCATGGACGGAGGAGCCTGGCGGGCTACAGGACTGAGCGACTCAGCACAGCACAGAACAGTCCTTGTTACTAAGAGGTGAGAACTGGAGCTGTGACCACCCTGACCTACCGACAGAATGCTTTGCACGTAGGGAAAGTGAAGTGAAAGTCGCTCACTTGTGCCCAGCTCTTTGCGACCCCAGGGACGATACAGTCCATGCAATTCTCCAGGCCAGAATACTGGAGTGGGTAGCCTTTTCCTTCTCCAGGGGATCTTCCCAACCCAGGAATCGAACTGGGGTCTCCGGCATTGCAGGCGGATTCTTTACCAACTGAGCGTAAGTGAGCAATAAATACTGGTTTGACTGACAGCTGAGATGGTTCTAGGAAGCTTCCTGAGGATATTACATTTGAGAGGGATCTTAAAAGGCGAGTAGGAGTCCAGTAGGCCGAGGCCGAGGTGAAGTAGAGAGACGGTAGGCAGGGGAAATGAGGCGTGCAGAGTCAGACAAGCATGGGTGTTTCAGCTCCTCATCAGTGGACTTGAGAGTACACTGCACTGGTGATGCGTGTGTCAGTGTCAGCGGACACCTGACCGTTCAAGTTAGACAACTTTGTAAGAAAATCCAAAAGACAGTATGAAATTGAGAGTTGGGCAGTTGTTTAGTGAATTGTGGCAAAGCAGATGTAGACTTTTGCACATCTTTAGCCCATAAAAGCCTTATAATAAGTATAGACTGAAGTTTCACTAGATGTCTCCTGATCTAGAATATTCTGATATTTCAGCTTGTGGGGACCTTAGAGATTATTTAACTGAAGCTTTCTCTGGTCAGATGACAGAAGACAGAGTTAATCAGTGCAGAGGTGGGGCCATAATCCAGATGTTTTAGCTTGCTGTCTGGAGACATTACCAACATACGGCAATTATACAACCACATTTCATCCTCTCACTCTGACACAAAGCAAGTTACGGGTCCCACCATATGTCCATTCATAACCCCTGGTCACCTTACAAAAGACACAGGAAGAAGACTCAGTCATCAATTCCCTATGTATGAGATGAAACATCAAGGCTGCTTGACACAAAACAACCAACCATTCTAAGTCTCAATAAGCAGTAAATGTTGAAAGAATTATTTTGGTAATACACTCTGAACTGAACTGCTATTTTTGCAAGCAAAACAGGGTGCCTGTTCTGTGCAGTATATTAAATGACAATTGGACCACAGATCTGGTTTCCCATCCTGAATAGACCACTCTCTAGCTGGGTTACCTAGAACAACTCAGACAACCTCTCTAAGCCTTCCCATTTCTTAATTTCTGAAAAGCAGAAACTGGATATCCAAGGTCCTCCCCAGTTTTGTAGTTTTCATGTGATTTTTCTAAGGAGGAATGAAAGAAAAAGCAACAGAAAAAATTTCCACTTGGACAGAAGTTCATTTATGCTGCTTCTCTGCAGTCAAACCAGCAGTCCTAATGATATTTCTCTATCAGTTTATAAATTTGTCAAACTATACATGTCACATGGTACAATATTGGAACTAACATTACATCCTTTACAGTATTCTGCACTTGCTGTGTGCCCCAGAAAAGCTATCAACTAACTGTTGTCCCAGGTCTTACTCATCTTATATCAGCTCTCCAAGGTTCAAGACTCATTCTCTGAGATTTCAAGGAGTTTTTCTTTGCAAGCCATAGCATCTTTATCAACAAGTTACAACCAATTTTCTTACATTAAAAATATATTGACTTCCCTCGGTACAGATGCAATAGACTATGTTTTATCCATCTTCATATTATCTTCTTTTAAAATCTCTGGGGGTCCTGGAGAACAACAAAGCTTACTTCATAACAAACAAGAAGAAATAAAAAGAGCTTACTGCTATGGAAGCAATTGTCTCTTGCTACATGATATGCATATATATGGATCCCTAAACAGAACCAGCATGGTTTACCTTTGACTCTTCCCACCACTGAAACAGAAAATTTATCTCCTTCTTTTCAATTAAGTTCCATCTTTCATGCACAAACAAAGGTAAGATTTTTCCTTTGACTAATTTCTTTTAACATACATGATGTTGATTCCTACTTTCTTGGGATCTCTTAGGCACATACCTAAGCATTCACAGAACAATCTCTTAGAATATGAGGATAATCTCATGCAACTGCAATTAAGAACAGATGGTTAAAAACTGCAAGGTAGTATTTGCATAAAACGATCATCATACTTTGACACTATAGTTTTATATTACCTTTAATTGTTTTCCTTGAAAGGAGTACTCCCACCTCCCTTAACCAAAAGATAACAAGAAAACGTGGCATTTTTTCCCCCCACTGGAAAGGAAACATTTCATAGCAAATACACTGAGGAGTAAAAAGTATACAAGTCCATAAAGGACTATGATATACTGTGAATAAAACTGACAGATATGGTCAAATGTACAAAAAACACAGTCTAATAGACCTTAACCACCTAACCTGCCCACACACCAGACGTAATCCACAAAGCCTGTGCACCAACATAATGGAAAGACAGCCCTCAGATTGGGAGAAAATAATAGCAAACGAAGCAACAGACAAAGGATTAATCTCAAAAATATACAAGCAACTCCTCCAGCTCAACTCCAGAAAAATAAATGACCCAATCAAAAAATGGGCCAAAGAACTCAACAGACATTTCTCCAAGGAAGACATACAGATGGCTAACAAACACATGAAAAGATGCTCAACATCACTCATTATCAGAGAAATGCAAATCAAAACCACAATGAGGTACCATTACACGCCAGTCAGGATGGCTGCTATCCAAAAGTCTACAAGCAATAAATGCTGGAGAGGGTGTGGAGAAAAGGGAACCCTCTTACACTGTTGGTGGGAATGCAAATTAGTACAGCCACTATGGAAAACAGTGTGGAGATTTCTTAAAAAGCTGGAAATAGAACTGCCATATGACCCAGCAATCCCACTTCTGGGCATACACACCGAGGAAACCAGATCTGAAAGAGACACGTGCACCCCAATGTTCATCGCAGCACTGTTTATAATAGCCAGGACATGGAAGCAACCTAGATGCCCATCAGCAGACGAATGGATGAGGAAGCTGTGGTACATATACACCATGGAATATTACTCAGCCATTAAAAAGAATTCATTTGAATCAGTTCTAATGAGATGGATGAAACTGGAGCCCATTATACAGAGCGAAGTAAGCCAGAAAGATAAAGACCATTACAGTATACTAACACATATATATGGAATTTAGAAAGATGGTAACGATAACCCTATATGCAAAACAGAAAAAGAGACTCAGATGTATAGAACAGACTTGTGGACTCTGGGAGAAGGCGAGGGTGGGATGTTTCAAGAGAACAGCATCGAAACATGTATATTATCTAGGGTGAAACAGATCACCAGCCCAGGTTGGGTGCATGAGACAAGTGCTCGGGCCTGGTGCACTGGGAAGACCCAGAGGGATCGGGTGGAGAGGGAGGTGGGAGGGGGGACCGGGATGGGGAATACATGTAAATCCATGGCTAATTCATTTCAATGTATGACAAAAACCACTGTAATGATGTAAAGTAATTAGCCTCCAACTAATAAAAATAAATGGAAAAAAAAAAAAGATTGCTTTCAAAGCAGAGTTCATTGACTTATTCTCTTCTGTAAGTCACTGTAAATTAAGCTTACCAACTTGGTTACCTTATGTTCCCATGGCACCTCTGTCTTGTTCGGGTTTATAAATGGAAGAGTGAATAACCTTTTAGCAGCTTGTGAACAACGGGATAGAAACAGGGATAAACAATTAAAAGCAGACATAAAGAACTGGAGGAGGAGTCAGTCAATCTTCAGCTAGAAAGAAACAACAAGCTGGGCATTACAAAAGTGATTAGTGAAATTTAGAAAATATGAACGGCCCCTTCCATAGGCAGCTCTGGATGATCCTGTTTGGTTCCACACAGAGATCTGCCACCCAGACCACAGCTGATTGAACTAGGGCTGGTCACGTGATGTAAATACAGCCAAAAGTCAGCTGAGCAGTAAGTTTCAGGATGACCTAGTATGAAAAGACATTAGAAAGAAAAAAGATCGAGTAAGAGTCTTCACAAAAGCAAGAAAGGTTCCAATCAGATTCCAGTTCTACTTGGAGGTGGATTAATGGAGAAAAATCAGACTGTTGGCAACGAGAACTGAAGGTGAAAAGATGATCTGCGTAAGATCCTTGAGGGGTCAAGAACAAACCAAAGTTATAAAGGAATCAAAGACATAAGAAGCACAAACCAAAAGTAAGGAATGATGTTGATAAAATAGAAGAGTGAGGCAATGATTTATTAGATGAGAAGAAATGAGACAAACGTTAAAGAGGAGATAAATGGAATCTCTGCTGTCGAAATCCCTAGACCTACCTTTCACTTCTATTCTTGTGCTAATTTCCTGTGCTTGGATTTTTCTGAGACTCTGTATCTTTTATTTATTTTTCTAAAAGTCCATAATTACTTAAAATAGCCTGGAAATATCTTCATTTCTTAAAATCAGAAATACCTAAAGTCTTTTGCCTATAAACTCTGAAAGTTTATCACTTTCTCACTGGTTTATTAGAGTTCTTTGCTCATCAGGTCTATAAATCTGTAGTATATGTTCATCATTTGACTTTTAACATAATAGTAGACAGCAGTTTTTGGCATTTATTAAGTTCCATGCACTATAAAAACCACTTTATAGGAATTATCTCACTGAGTCCTCAAAATAACCATCCATGAAAAAAGCATGGCACCAAGAGTTTAACAGATTTGTCTGAAGTCATAGAGATAATGAGAGAAAAGAAAGGTAGGGAAAACCTTGTGTGTCTGACTCTGCAGCTGCTCTTAGCCATTCAGCATCACCATTTCTCTTATTGCTACTTTTTAAATTGTGCTAAAATATGCACTGGCCTTCCCTCGTGGCTTATAAGGTAAAGAATCTGCCTGCAATGCAGGGGACCTGGGTTTGATCCCTGGGTCGAGAAGATCCCCAGAGAAGGAAATGGCTATCCACTTCAGCATTCTTGCCTAGAGAAGTCCATGAACAGAGGAGCCTGGCAGGCTACAGTCCATGGAGTTGCAAAGAGTTGGACATGATGAAAGTGACTGAACATGCATGCAAAATACACAGAACATAAAATTTACCTTCTTAACTATTTTTAAGTGTACTGTTCAGTGATATTACATACACTCACACTGATGTCCAACTGTCATCACCAGTCATCTCCAGAATTCTCTTCACCTTTCAAAACTGAAACTCTGCTCTTTAAACCATAACATTCCATTTCTCCCCATGCCAACCAGCGTCTGGTAACCACCATTCTACATTCTGTCTCTATGAATTTGACTACTCTGGGTATCTCATATAAGTGGAATCATACAGCATTTTTGCTTTTGTCACTGGCTTATTTTACTTAACATACATAATGTCCTCAGTGTTCATCTATATTGCAGAATGTGTCAGAATTTCCTTCCATTTTAAGAGTAAATAATATTCCATTGTATGGATATACCAGATTTTGTTTATCCATTCATCAATCTGTGGACACTTGAATTGCTTCCACCCCTTGGCTATTATGAATAATGCTACTATGAGTGTGGATGTACAAAAATCTTCTTCAACATGTTCTTGCTTTTAATTCTTTGAGTATGTACCAGAAGTGGAATTGTTAAATCTTATGGGACTTTTATTTTTAATTTTTTGAAAAACTGCTACACTGCTGTCATAACAGCTACACCAGTTTACATTTGTTACCAACAGTGTACAAAAGCTCCAATTTTTCCACATCCTCACCAACACTGCTTTAAAAAAATTAAAAAATGGTAGCCATCTTAATGGATGTGACATCATTCTTCTCTTGATTTATGTGTTTGGGAAATTTTAAAGTTTTTATGTGGATAAATTAGCAATTTATATCTTCAAGGTTTTAATATGTTATTTCAAAAACCCTTCTTCATTCAAGATTATATAAAGATTCATTTCTATTACATTTTCTTGTTGTTGTTTAGTGGCTGTGTCTGAGTCTTTTGCAACCCCATGGACTATAATCTCCCAGGCTCCTCTGTCCATGGGCTTTCCCAGGCAAGAATACTGGAGTGGGTTGCTATTTTGTTTTCCAGGGGATCTTCCCTACCCAGGGATCAAAACTGTATCTCCTGCATTGGCAAACAGATTCTTTACCACTGATTCAGCAGGGAATGGGATTAATCATGTGAAGTAAAGACTAACCATTAATTCTTCAGCCATAATAATTAAACTATTGTCCCACTGTCATTTTTTAATACTCTGTCTTTCTCAAGTAGTCTGAAATTCCATATTCAGTATATGCTAAATATGTATGTGTGTGTGTATATATATATATATATATGAATAAATTTCTGGACTGTATATTCCGTTTCTGTACCATAAACACAGTGTTGATTACGGTACCTTTATAATGCATTAAAGTATGTGGTAGGACCAGTATCCCTTCATCACTCTTGTTTATCTGAAGTGTTCTAGGCTATTCTCACATATTATACAGATGTAAAACATTTCCATAATAATTAATTGCCTCAAAGATATTGCCACATTATAGAATAATACAATATAATTAATGTTTACCAAAATCACTGCAGATGGTGACTGCAGCCATGAAATTAAAAGATGCTTGCTCCTTGGAAGAAAATCTATGACCAACCTAGGCAGCATATCAAAAAGCAGACACGTTACTTTGCCAACAAAGGTCCGTCTAGTCAAAGCTATGGTTTTTCTAGTGGTCATGTATGGATGTGAGAGTTGGACTATAAGGAAAGCTTAGCACTGAAGAATTGATGCTTTTGAACTGTAGTGGTGTTGGAGAAGACTCTTGAGGGTCCCTTGGACTGCAAGGAGATCCAACCAGTACATCTTAAAGGAAATCAGTCCTGAATATTCATTGGAATGACTGATGCTAAAGCTGAAACTCCAATACTTCGGCCACCTGATGCAAAGAACTGACTCACTGGAAAAGACCCTGATGCTGGGAAAGATTGAAGGCGGGAGGAGAAGGGAACAACAGAAGATGAGATGGTTGGATGGCATAATACCTCGATGGACGTGAGTTTGAGCCAGCTTCAGGAGTTGGTGATGGACAGGGCAGCATGGCGTGCTGCAGTCCATGGGGTCGCAAAGCGCTGGTCAGGACTGAGTGACTGAACTGAACGAATTAATGTTCACAGTGATCACTTCAAAAATCATCACAAAATCTTTAAATCTGCTTAACAGCATTGACAGAAATAAGCAGAAAAGAATACAATGCATTTAGTGACATTTACGTAAAAACAGTATAAAAAAATAAAATTTTAGCTTCTTCAAAAACTAAGGGACAGAGATCACTAATATTATGCATTCACAATTTTTTTTAAGAAAAAGTCATTTAGGCACAAGGATACACTGGTGGAAACTGGGCCAAAATTCAATCAGCACTTAGGGTGCATTAAAATATCCTTTCCTGAGAGAGGAGGTCCCAGAATGCCCCAGTGACCCAAGGATCATTGCACTTCCTTTCTCATCAAATCATCTGCAATCTTTATATCCTGACTATAGTTTCTCTCTACTCTCTACCAAACAATTATTGGTTAGTCCTCCCAGCTTGCAATGAAAACTATGATGCACTTTCTAGTTTCAAATAATGTCCAGTCATCCTGTTATAGTCTCTCTTTCTTGAATCAACTCCTGAAGATGACTGTTATCATTTGCATTATAACACCCAGAATGACATTCTTTCTTTTGTCTCTTTGCCACATGTCTAGCACTATCAATGGCACATCATTTGTCAACCATCATGAGTCAAAAATTCCCTCCAGAACACAAATGACATAAACACAGTCCACATAGGAAAGCACATAAGTTGCAGACACATTTATCTCAGGAGAGCATGGTAAAAAGCTCGTTAACCAAGAATATTTTTAATACAAGGTGCTAACATCTCTTTGTGGTATATCCCACATAGTGTCCAATATGGTAGAGAAGAAGCAAAGCAACTTGAGCACACAGATATATGTTTTAGGGGCTTTTTTTGGCTTAAGGAAGGAAGGTTTGGCACCAGGGAATTGGCACCTTTTCGGAAGTAATCCCAAAGTCTATGGCAGCAGGAATGCAGAGGAAGTCATGGTGTATGGTTGAATATAGTTGAAGAATAAGGCAGAAGATGTCTTAGATGACTCCCAAGATTATTTTTGGATTATCTCCACATATTCATTTATTAATAGTAAAAGTTTATTAAAAGAATGAATAAATGAGTGAATGGTTTGTCTAGAACCATGTTTATTTCTGTTCAAAGTGGGGTCTACAAGTCAGTGTCAAAGTGTTGCTTATTATTAATCCAAAACAAGGTAAGGAGCTTGCTCCAGCAGGTAAATTAATTAGATTATGAAGTATACCATTTCATTTGACAGCTTTATTGTTACCATGAAGCAAACAGTACACTCCCTTTGCTGCATAAACTCTTAATTACATAAGGAACCAGCACTTTGATAATACACATGATCCTGGTTGGATCCTGAACAACGGGCCACTAAATTTGATTTATCTGGGGATCCAGAGGTGGTAAAGTCTTCTGACAATGTCTGTGGAGCCAGTGCTAAACAAAGAAGCTCTTAGTGTCAGGAGGAGGTCTAGGACACTTTTGGAACTGGCAATCAGATGGTTCCAAGGAAAAATGTATTTGTTTGATAAATAGGTATAGTTAAAGAACAGTTCTTGCCTTAAGCTCAGCAAAATGGCTGTGCTGATATTTCTGTGAGTTATGGTTGGATTAATATCTACAAAATTGCACAAAAGCCAAATCGGAGCCCATAATCTAATGGCTATTTAAAAGATCTTACTCATTGAACTGAGAGTATCAAAAAATTATATCTAAGGGATAGGTTTGGGCCATCTGCGGAAATTTTCTTGGTGGATTGTGAATTCGAAGTAAATTTGTGAAAGTCATTGTTCAATTTATATGCTTCTAGCTGCATGCATCTGAAAACCTAAATCAAACTGGCTCTCACAAAGAAGGAACGCATTTGCTTACATAAGTGACTGTGCAGAGGTAAGCTGGACTTTGGGCTTGAGTGAATACAACGACTCCAGCCCCATCCCCATCCCCTGCATTGCTCCGTGTTCATTCCCCCTGCACGGGTACTTCACGCTTAGACTGGCAGAAAACTAGTTCCAACCATTCTGTCCTCACACCCGTACTCTTTCTATGGATCCCTATTAACAGCAGGTGGTTTTTCCCCCCAGAAGTGCCCCTCCCCACAATTCATTTCCCTTTGCCCATACTGGAATATATACAAATTCTCTGACCAATCCCTCTAGCTAAGGAAATGGCAGACCAGCTTAAGTCTGGCATACTAAAACTGGTGCTGGCTTGGGAGTAAAGCTTTACTGTGATTCTCTTAGCTTAATTAGGGCTCATCCTTCTAGCCAAGGTCAAGGCCCCAAACTTCCTTCCTGCTGTGAAATGGATGGCTCAACCCCAACATCCAACACAAGGTCCAATCCCAACTTCATTAAGGACTAGACAACCTACAGTGTAAACGAGTAAAGGCAAACAATAACTTAGCATGTTGTAACATGAAGGATGCCACAAGCGATGGCTTTGATAATAGATATTTCCAGGAGAGAAATACTGCCTAAAGAGAATTGGGAGGTTAGACTGTCAGTGTGTCTGAGTCTAACAGTGACCAAAGAAAATTATGTTGTGAGTCTAGAAGATGGATTCCAGTAATTTAGGAAGAAATAACCACAGGGCAAAGAAGGATTAACTCAAAATTATATTAGCCTGAGGAGACTTCCCTTGGGCAAAACCTAATCTCTCTGCTGTAAATCCTATGCTCACCAAGCAAAGTTCTGAATTATTATTTGTCCTTCTGAGTGGCTGACCGCCCACAGAAATATTCCTTGTTAAAGAAATACACCTGATTTTAAAAATTGATTCTATTTCCCATGGCAAGTGGGCACTGTGGCTTATAAATCATTCTCTTTTGTATTTGTTAGAAATTTCTGAGTCTATCCTGTGAAGCCTGATCACCCTGACAAAATAGTAAAAGTAAGATCCTGAAAGGGAAAAGCTGAGGCCGTACGTCTTTATCAAGGTGGAATCTGCATGAGACCTGGCCTAAATCTGCTATTAACATCGCCCCTACAAGGGAACGCTAATATCTGAGAAACCCAGAAGACCCACCATGCAGTCCCCTGACCTTTAATTGAGCCCTCTTAGAGAGGGGTTTAAGATTGGGGGTTATGGGTCAAGTCTCTAGA